ATCACTCGTGTAGACAACCACACTATCACTAGTGTAGACAACCACACCCATCACTAGTGTAGACAACCACACCCATCACTCGTGTAGACAACCACACCCATCACTCGTGTAGACAACCACACCCATCACTCGTGTAGACAACCACACCCATCACTCGTGTAGACAACCACACCCATCACTCGTGTAGACAACCACACCCATCACTAGTGTAGACAACCACACCCATCACTAGTGTCGACAACAACACCCATCACTAGTGTAGGCAACCACACCCATCACAATTGTAGACAACAACACCCATCACTAGTGCAGACAACCACACTATCGCTAGTGTAGACAACAACATCCATCTCTAGTGTAGACAACTACACCCATCACTAGTGTAGACAACCACACCCATCACTAGTGATGGGTGTGGTTGTCTACACTAGTGACGGGTGTGGTTGTCTACACTAGCGATAGTGTGATTGTCTACACTAGCGATAGTGTGGTTGTCTGCACTAGTGATGGGTGTGGTTGTCTGCACCAGTGATAGTGTGGTTGTCTACACTAGTGATAGTGTGGTTGTCTACACTAGCGATAGTGTGGTTGTCTACACTAGCGATAGTGTGGTTGTCTACACTAGCGATAGTGTGGTTGTCTACACTAGCGATAGTGTGGTTGTCTACACTAGTGATAGTGTGGTTGTCTACACTAGTGATAGTGTAGTTGTCTACACTAGTGATAGTGTGGTTGTCTACACTAGCGATAGTGTGGTTGTCTACACTAGCGATAGTGTGGTTGTCTACACTAGTGATGGTGTGGTTGTCTACACTAGTGATAGTGTTGTTGTCTACACTAGTGATAGTGTGATTGTCTGCACTAGCGATAATGTGGTTGTCTGCACTAGCGATAGTGTGGTTGTCTACACTAGTGATAGTGTTGTTGTCTACACTAGTGATAGTGTGATTGTCTACACTAGTGATAGTGTTGTTGTCTACACTAGTGATAGTGTGATTGTCTACACTAGCGATAGTGTGGTTGTCTGCACTAGTGATGGGTGTGGTTGTCTGCACTAGTGATAGTGTGATTGTCTACACTAGCGATAGTGTGGTTGTCTGCACTAGTGATAGTGTGATTGTCTACACTAGTGATAGTGTGATTGTCTACACTAGTGATAGTGTGGTTGTCTACACTAGTGATAGTGTGATTGTCTACACTAGTGATGGGTGTGGTTGTCTGCACTAGTGATGGGTGTGGTTGTCTGCACTAGTGATGGGTGTGGTTGTCTGCACTAGTGATAGTGTGGTTGTCTACACTAGCGATAGTGCGGTTGTCTGCACTAGTGATAGTGTGGTTGTCTACACTAGTGATAGTGTGATTGTCTACACTAGTGATAGTGTGATTGTCTACACTAGCGATAGTGTGGTTGTCTGCACTAGTGATGGGTGTGGTTGTCTGCACTAGTGATGGGTGTGGTTGTCTGCACTAGTGATGTGTGTGGTTGTCTGCACTAGTGATGGGTGTGGTTGTCTGCACTAGTGATTGGTGTGGTTGTCTACACTAGTGATGGGTGTGGTTGTCTGCACTAGTGATGGGTGTGGTTGTCTGCACTAGTGATGGGTGTGGTTGTCTGCACTAGTGATGGGTGTGGTTGTCTGCACTAGTGATGGGTGTGGTTGTCTGCACTAGTGATGGGTGTTGTTGTCTGCACTAGTGATGGGTGTGGTTGTCTGCACTAGTGATGGGTGTGGTTGTCTGCACTAGTGATGGGTGTGGTTGTCTGCACTAGTGATGGGTGTGGTTGTCTACACTAGTGATGGGTGTGGTTGTCTGCACTAGTGATGGGTGTGGTTGTCTGCACTAGTGATGGGTGTGGTTGTCTGCACTAGTGATGGGTGTGGTTGTCTGCACTAGTGATGGGTGTGGTTCTCTGCTCTAGTGATGGGTGTGGTTGTCTGCACTAGTGATTGGTGTGGTTGTCTGCACTAGTGATAGTGTGATTATCTACACAAGCGATAGTGTGGTTGTCTGCACTAGTGATAGTGTGATTGTCTACACTAGTGATAGTGTGATTGTCTACACAAGCGATAGTGTGGTTGTCTGCACTAGTGATGGGTGTGGTTGTCTGCACTAGTGATGGGTGTGGTTCTCTGCTCTAGTGATGGGTGTGGTTCTCTGCTCTAGTGATGGGTGTGGTTGTCTGCACTAGTGATGGGTGTTGTTGTCTACACTAGTGATGGGTGTGGTTGTCAACACTTGTGATGGATGTGGTTGTCTACACTAGTGATGGATGTGATTGTCTACACTAGCGATGGTGTTGTTGTCTACACTAGTGATAGTGTGGTTGTCTACACTAGTGATAGTGTGGTTGTCTACACTAGCGATAGCGTGGTTGTCTACACTAGCGATAGCGTGGTTGTCTACACTAGTGATGGGTGTGGTTGTCTACACTAGTGATGGGTGTGGTTGTCTACACTTGTGATGGATGTGGTTGTCTACACTAGTGATGGATGTGATTGTCTACACTAGCGATGGTGTTGTTGTCTACACTAGTGATGGGTGTGATTGTCTACACTAGCGATGGTGTTGTTGTCTACACTAGTGATGGGTGTGGTTGTCTACAATAGTGATGTGTGTGGATGTCTACATTTGTGATAGTGTGGTTGTCTACACTAGTGATAGTGTGGTTGTCTACACTAGCGATAGCGTGGTTGTCTACACTAGCGATAGCGTGGTTGTCTACACTAGTGATGGGTGTGGTTGTCTACACTAGTGATGTGTGGTAGTCTACACTAGTGATGGGTGTGTTTGTCTACACTAGTGATGGGTGGTGTTGTCTACACTAGTGATAAGTGTGGTTGTCTACACTAGTTGTAAGTGTGGTTGTCTACACTTGTGATAGTGTGGTTGTCTACACTATTGATAGTGTGGTTGTCTACACTAGTGATAGTATGGTTGTCTACACTAGTGATAGTGTGGTTGTCTACACTAGTGATAGTGTGGTTGTCTACACTAGTGATAGTGTGGTTGTTAACACTACTGATGGGTGTGGTTGTCTACACTAGCTACACTAGTGATGGGTGTGGTTGTCTACACTAGCTACACTAGTGATGGGTGTGGTTGTCTACACTAGCTACACTAGTGATGGGTGAGGTTGTCTACACTAGTGATGTGTGAGGTTGTCTAGACTAGTGATGGTGTGGTTGTCTACACTAGCGATAGTGTGGTTGTCTAGACTAGTGATGGTGTGGTTGTCTACACTAGCGATAATGTGGTTGTCTGCAGTAGTGATGGGTGTGGGTGTCTACACTAGTGATGGTGTGGTTGTCTACACTAGCGATAGTGTGGTTGTCTACACTAGCGATAGTGTGGTTGTCTACACTAGCGATAGTGTGGTTGTCTGCACTAGTGATGGGTGTGGTTGTCTACACTTGCGATAGTGTGGTTGTCTACACTAGCGGTAGTCTGGTTGTCTACACTTGCGATAATGTGGTTGTCTACACTTGCGATAGTGTGGTTGTCTACACTAGCGATAGTGTGGTTGTCTACACTAGCGATTTTGTGGTTGTCTACATTAGTGATAGTTTGGTTGTCTACACTATTTATAGTGTGGTTGTCTGCACTAGCGATAGTGTGGTTGTCTGCACTAGCGAAAGTGTGGTTGTCTGCACTAGCGATAGTGTGGTTGTCTGCACTAGCGATAGTGTGGTTGTCTGCACTAGCGATAGTGTGGTTGTCTACACTAGCGATAGTGTGGTTGTCTACACTAGCGATAGTGTGGTTGTCTACACTAGCGATAGTGTGGTTGTCTACACTAGCGATAGTGTGGTTGTCTACACTACCGATAGTGTGGTTGTCTACTCTACCGATAGTGTGGTTGTCTACACTAGCGATAGTGTGGTTGTCTACACTAGCGATAGTGTGGTTGTCTACACTAGCGATAGTGTGGTTGTCTACACTAGCGATTTTGTGGTTGTCTACATTAGTGATAGTTTGGTTGTCTAGACTAGTGATGGTGTGGTTGTCTACACTAGCGATAGTGTGGTTGTCTGCAGTAGTGATGGGTGTGGGTGTCTACACTAGTGATGGTGTGGTTGTCTACACTAGCGATAGTGTGGTTGTCTACACTAGCGATAGTGTGGTTGTCTACACTAGCGATAGTGTGGTTGTCTGCACTAGTGATGGGTGTGGTTGTCTACACTTGCGATAGTGTGGTTGTCTACACTAGCGGTAGTCTGGTTGTCTACACTTGCGATAATGTGGTTGTCTACACTTGCGATAGTGTGGTTGTCTACACTAGCGATAGTGTGGTTGTCTACACTAGCGATTTTGTGGTTGTCTACATTAGTGATAGTTTGGTTGTCTACACTAGTGATAGTGTGGTTGTCTGCACTAGCGATAGTGTGGTTGTCTGCACTAGCGATAGTGTGGTTGTCTGCACTAGCGATAGTGTGGTTGTCTGCACTAGCGATAGTGTGGTTGTCTGCACTAGCGATAGTGTGGTTGTCTACACTAGCGATAGTGTGGTTGTCTACACTAGCGATAGTGTGGTTGTCTACACTAGCGATAGTGTGGTTGTCTACACTAGCGATAGTGTGGTTGTCTACACTAGCGATAGTGTGGTTGTCTACACTACCGATAGTGTGGTTGTCTACTCTACCGATAGTGTGGTTGTCTACACTAGCGATAGTGTGGTTGTCTACACTAGCGATAGTGTGGTTGTCTACACTAGCGATAGTGTGGTTGTCTACACTAGCGATTTTGTGGTTGTCTACATTAGTGATAGTTTGGTTGTCTACACTAGCGATAGTGTGGTTGTCTACACTAATGGTGTGGTTGTCTACACTAGTGATAGTGTGGTTGTCTGCAAAAGCGATAGTGTGGTTGTACACGCTATTGATAATGTGGTTGTCTACACTAGTGATGGATGTGGTTGTCTACACTAGTGATGGATGTGGTTGTCTGTAGTCTACTGGGTGACTGGTGTGTTTTACAAGCAGGACGAGTGGGTGACTGACTGGACTGTTTTTGAAGGCTTCACTCGATTTGATGGGTGAGGTTCGCTCGAGAATCTTCCGCTTGTAGTATGGAGTTCGCAGTTGGATTTGCCTGCAAAAAGTTTTGGAAATAATATTTGAACGTTTTTCAATAATATTTAACATAAAACTGTTTATGTTAATAATTATTTTAATAATAAAGACATATGGAATCAAAAAATTAACGAATCCGGTGTGGCACTTTTGGCTTGGGGTCTCCCCCCACCAGTAGCATCCACAACAACAATAAAAATGGATAAATCTTGCTCAAAGACTTGATAACTCTGCAGATAAACGTAAGTGGTTGGTAGACTTTACTGAACCTGACGTTATCCCAGGTTAGTATAAGTAATTATCTAAGAAAGTCCCTAGTCAGGAGGAAGAATATGTACCACACACAAACCTTAAAAGAAACATATCCAGAATTTTGAGTTCGAATCTTATGCGTGACAGAAATGTATGGGCGAGTTTCGTATCGCCTAATGCTTCTCTTCACCATGAAACAAATCGGTATGCAGAAGTTGGTCGGCTTGTTGTGGAGACGTCCTGGGAGGGTCACTAGTTCCACACCTGAGCTACACGTTAACACTCACCCGGTCTCGACCTCTCCTCTACCTGGGTGTATATCTCCATTACCATACCTGCTATACCTCTACCTGGGTGTATATCTCCATTACCATACCTGCTACACCTCTACCTGGGTGTATATCTCCATTACCATACCTGCTACACCACTACCTGGGTGTATATCTCCATTACCATACCTGCTACACCTCTACCTGGGTATATATCTCTATTACCATACCTGCTACACCTCTACCTGGGTGTATATCTCCATTACCATACCTGCTACACCTCTACCTGGGTATATATCTCTATTACCATACCTGCTACACCTCCATCTGGGTGTATATCTCCATTACCATACCTGCTACACCTCCACCTGGGTGTATATCTCCATTACCATACCTGCTACACCTCCACCTGGGTGTATATCTCTATTACCATACCTGCTACACCTCCACCTGGGTGTATATCTCCATTACCATACCTGCTACACCTCTACCTGGGTATATATCTCCATTACCATACCTGCTACACCTCTACCTGGGTATATATCTCCATTACCATACCTGCTACACCTCCACCTGGGTGTATATCTCCATTACCATACCTGCTACACCTCTACCTGGGTATATATCTCCATTACCATACCTGCTACACCTCTTCCTGTGTATATTCCTACATTAACATACCTGCTGCACCTTTACCTGTGTATATATCTCCATTAACATTCTTCTATACCTCTACCTGTGTATATCTCTATAACGTACTTGCTACACCTCTACCTCTATATATATCTAGGCTTAACATACCTGCTATACCTCTACCCATGTATATATCTATATTAACATACCTGCTACACCTCTACATGCGTATATATATCTCCATTAACGAACCTGCTACACCTCTACTTCAGTATATATCTCTATTAACATACCTCCTACACATCTACCTTTGTATATCTATATTAACATTCCCGCTACACCTCTACCTGTGTATATATGTTTCCATTAACATACTTGCTACAACTCTAGCTGCGTATATTTATATTAACATACCTGCTACACCCCTGCCTGTGTATGCATATCAATTACCATACATGCTACACCTCTACCTATGTATATTTCTCCATTGCCGTTATACAGGTTGTCCATTACATTCTCCATTGCCATTGTAAAGGATAACTAGCATAATGGTAGCCATCTGGATGTTGTGAAGGATAAGGACCACAAGGGTAACCACCTGGATGTTGTGAAGGATAAGGATAACATAATGGTAGCCACCTGGATGCTGGAAGTGCCTGGAGCAGCTGGTTCACCACCTGGGATCTCTTCTTCCAGTCCTGGGAGGAGACAACACCCTTGTTGCCATAGTTAGCAGTGTAGTACCACTCTCCCCACACCCCGATGAAGCTCGCCTGGAGCACTGCTATCACCCCAGCATGTTTCTGCAACAATACGTGCAACACTCACTGTTATCGCCCTAGAATACGACTGCAACATAACGTGCAACACTCACTGTTATCACCCCTGCATACTTCTGCAACAATACGTGCAACACTCACTGTTATCACCCCTGCATACGTCTGCAAAAATACTCACTGTTATCTCCCTGCAGACTCAGCTGAGCATTCATTCAGTCTACGACGCCTTACCGTGCAGGGGTGGGCTAGTGGCACTCCTCCAACAGCCTTACCGTGCAAGTGTGGGCTAGAGGCACTCCAACAGCCTTACCGTGCAGGTGTGGGCTATTGGTGCTCCTGCAACAGGTTTACCGTGCAGGTGTAAGCTAGTTGTAATGACCAGTCCTATTTTACCCCCTTTCCTCACTCAATACCCCAGCTTAACGCTGTTTGCAGATCAATGTGACCCCCAATGAACTACAGCAATTATTAATTCTGAAATATTAAATGAGGAGGAAGCAACGAGTGGAGAGTTTATTAAATTAAAATTAAGGAATAAAAACTCATTAAACACTGCCACCACCTCCTTGTCCAGACTCAGAATGTGTCTTTTATTGACTTCCCGGGGAGTATAGAAGCCAATAATCATGAAGTCAAGGGGTATAAGGGACTTGGTAAGGAATGCGTGAGAATTATTAATGTAATCTTTACTGATTGAAGATTCAAGGGCAACTCTAATATTCATAAAATGGAGAACACCGGGGAGTTCCTAGTACCGTACATAAACACAAAAAAATGACCCAGCATTAAACAAAAAGGGAACGGATAACTAAACACAAATATATGAATACACTTTATTTATTTGAAACACGTATATTCAAATCAAAATTGAAAATATATCCTACTCTAAATCCCTTCGAAGCAACAGAATGTCATACTGAATATACATGAAATCTCAAGTGCACAATTACCTTCAATACTGCAAAACAGGCCCAGATGTTGAGTGGCTGCCCCCAGGTCACCTGACCTGCACCCCAGTTGAAGCCCCAAGACACACTAACTTTAATATTGTCTTAATACTCTCCCAGTAGGAACAGGCTCCTCCCATTTCTAAGTTCCTTTGTTCCAATTAACCCCTCCTATCCAAGCCTATTGAGAATGGATTTAAACACAACTGGGTGCTCTGGAAGCTTGGCCAATGGAATTGTCAGGCCCTACCCTGGGGGACTAGACCTCTTGAGTCCTCAGCCAACAAGGGCCAAGAGCCTAACCCCACCTCCTAGGCCTTCATGGTATCAACTAATCAAGTACCCAGCTAGGACTAGGCATGTGAATAGGGGTCTGTTCCCCTTGACAGAAATCTCATGTAACTGGAAAAAAGCAGAAACAAACCCTCGTGGGAACAGCTGCTAGCCAGCCATCCAACGAAATTTGATATGTACGGTTTATAGCTCCAAAATTCGTCACTGGTAGAAGCAAGACAGGGGAAGAGGGGGAAGAGGGGGGTGGAGAGGGAAAATAGAGTGGCAAACGGAGAGGGCCAAGAGAGGACCTCTTGACTCAGGGATTATGACCAGTGAGGGTGGACTGTGACAAATGGGAGGGATGACCAAAGGGAGGGGGTGACGAACGACGGCAAGGGAGAGGGGAGAAGCCATGGACTGAGCACAAGATCATTACATAGTGGTGTTCCTCCAACAACCTTACTTTGCAGGTGTGGACTAGTGGCGCTCCTGCAACAAGCTTACCCAGCAGGTGTGGGCTAGAGGCACTCCAGCAATAGCCTTACCGTGCAGGTGTGGGCTAGAGGCACTCCAGCAATAGCCTTACCGTGCAGGTGTGGGCTAGAGGCACTCCAGCAACAGCCTTACCGTGCAGGTGTGGGCTAGAGGCACTCATACAACAGTCTTACCGTGCAGGTGTGGGCTAGAGGCACTCCTACAAAAGTCTTACCGTGCAGGAGTGGACTAGTGGCACTCCTCCAACAGCCTTACCGTGCAGGTGTGGGCTAGAGGCACTCCTCCAACAGCCTTACCGTGCAGGTGTGGGCTAGAGGCACTCCTCCAACAGCCTTACCGTGCAGGTGTGGGCTAGAGGCACTATTCCAACAGCCATACCGTGCAGATGTGGCCTAGTGGCACTCCTCCAACAGCCTTACCCTGCAGGTGTGGGCTAGAGGCAGTTCTACAAAAACAGTACCGTGCAGGTGTAGGCTAGTGGCACTCCTCCAACAACATTACCGTGCAGGTGCAGGCTAGTGGCACTCCTCCAACAACCTTACCGTGCAGGTGTAGGCTAGTGGCACTCCTCCAACAACCTTACTGTGCAGGTGCAGGCTAGTGGCACTCCTCCAACAACCTTACCGTGCAGGTGTGGGCTAGAGGCACTCCTCCAACAGCCTTACCGTGCAGGTGTGGGCTAGAGGCACTATTCCAACAGCCATACCGTGCAGATGTGGCCTAGTGGCACTCCTCCAACAGCCTTACCCTGCAGGTGTGGGCTAGAGGCAGTTCTACAAAAACAGTACCGTGCAGGTGCAGGCTAGTGGCACTCCTCCAACAACCTTACCGTGCAGGTGTGGGCTAGAGGCACTCCTCCAACAACCTTACCGTGCAGGTGTGGGCTAGAGGCACTCCTCCAACAGCCTTACCTTGCAGGTGTGGGTTACAGGCACTCCTCCAACAGCCTTACCCGTAGGAGAGGTGTTAACTGCTGTATATGGGTCGCCAGTTGAGCGGGCGGGGCGTCGTTGATGTTCTTTTCTTCGATGGAGTAGCAGAACCTCAACACCACCTGCAACACCAGTCTCTGTAAACACCTTTATCAAGCTCAACACTATGGTGAAGGGGAGGCAATACTGCTTGCAACATCGTAGTCATCGCAGAAGTCAAGAAATGTTGTCGATTATTTAAAAACTTAAATAATCAACAGAAATAACTACAAAGGAAGATCAGACATTGGTAAAACACCGCACATCCATCTCACACAACCAAATATCAACAGCCAGACAACACTCAGATTCACTCTACCATCTTCAAGACCGAGACACAACACTCAACACACTGCACAAGCAACAATAGCAACTAAGATGGTGAGAAGGATGAAGAAATATATGAATACTGTGATTGGATGCCTATCAAAGAATAGTTAAAGCGCTATGCTGTATGGTGAGGTCTGGTGCTGTATGGTGAGGTCTGGTGCTGTATGGTGAGGTCTGGTGCTGTATGGTGAGATCTGGTGCTGTATGGTGAAGTCTGGTGGTGTATGGTGAGGTCTGGTGCTGTATGGTGAGGTCTGGTGCTGTATGGTGAGATCTGGTGCTGTATGGTGAAGTCTGGTGGTGTATGGTGAGGTCTGATGCTGTATGGTGAGGTCTAGGGCTGTATGGTGAGGTCTGGGGATGTATTGTGAGGTCTGGGGCTGTATGGTAAGATCTGGTGCTGTATGGTAAGGTCTGGTGCTGTATGGTGAGGTCTGGTGCCGTATGGTTAGGTCTGGTGCTGTATGGTGAGGTCTGGTGCCGTATGGTGAGGTCTGGTGCTGTATGGTGAGGTCTGGTGCTTTATAGTGAGGTCTGGTGCTGTATGGTGAGGTCTGGTGCTGTATGGTGAGGTCTGGTGCTGTATGGTGAGGTCTGGTGCTGTATGGTGAGGTCTGGTGCTGTATGGTGAGGTCTGGTGCTGTATGGTGAGGTCTGGTGGTGCATGGTGAGGTCTGGTGGTGCATGGTGAGGTCTGGTGCTGTATGGTGAGGTCTGGTGCTGTATGGTGAGGTCTGGTGCTGTATGGTGGGGTCTGTTGGTGTGTGGGATATCTGGGGCTTGACTCAATTATTCAATTATTTTACTTATTTAATTTAATTACAAAGGACCATCCACTTTTGAGAAAAGAGGGAAACTATAAAAGTGATCATTAGAAAACACACTGAAGAACCAGTGTCTATGGATAAGTATTAGAAAGAATAATCACTTAAAATAAAGAATGGGCTGTATGATTAATTAACTAAAGTCAGAGCCTCAAACACCTACATTGGGGGGGTATTACTAGAACTTCATATACGTCTAGGAACTAGTGTGATTCGTCACCAGTTCATTGTTGAGTAAATAATATTATGATCTAAAATGCTATAGAGTCAAATATGTGAACTCAAATTATGAATATTAATAATTATTAAATTACGGAGCAATCATCTAAGTAAACACATAAATTTCCAAAAATCAGGTATGGTAAGAATATTCAATATGATAATCTTGCAAATTTGTATAATGATAAAAAATGGAAGAATTAAATGTGTACAAAAAGTCTTAGCTTTAAGACGATTTCTATGACACCGTTCGTGATTCGTCCTCGTGATCTCAGGATCTCCACATAGAAGAAATTAGAGGTGAATAACACGAATGCTGTTAACGACTCGTTGACTCCTCACATACGAGCTGTAATTTAAAGAATATTAAGTAGCATTGGACTAGGCTACTTTTAATCTCAATATTCATGAAAATAGAAAATAAACATTAATGCGGTACTAACGTTGGATATGTGGTCGTCTCACTATATACACATTATTTGGACCTTCGGAACCGGAATATTTGGACCTTCGGAACCGGAATATTCGGTCCTATGAACCCACATTTGGTCATCTTAGTACCGGATGAACCAGTTAACCAGTGGATTCATTAAATATACTAGTGCAGTGTTATTTAAACAAAGCCAGCAGTCAAGACGACAGCGTAGCCTCGAGGGAGCTCAGGAGCCTCCCTCAGCCCAGTTCAGCTTCGTCAGCGGTTTCATGCACACCCACAGATATTTGGTGGCGTGTTATTTCGTGAAATGACAGCGCTAATATAGAATCCAGCCAAATTAGTGACTGTGTCTTCGCGAGATTGTTCACGGATTTCGTGGTGTTACATTTCGCGAGAGATTATCCACGAATTTTGTGGACTTTATTTCGCGAGGTCACTAATAACATTTAATACTTCTAGATAATATTAGAAGTTTCATAGAGGCTAATTAAGAGGCTATTAACAATAATTGTGTATATTATTTCTCCAAAATAGAGAATTATTTAATATATATTGCACTAGTGATCACAGTATAATATTTACTAATTGCCAACCCACAACAGGGTAGGATATTAACCATTGACTAGTTGAACTATTATTGTTCATCCTAGTCCCATTATTACAATAGTCAGTTGTACTATATTGAACAACCTAACACCATTAATGAATGGTCAAGACCCTATTTTGGGTGTAATTTTTATCAACTCGAGTTGAGTAGTATATATAATAATTTACTTATGATCATTACACCTTTGAGTGATTAATTAGTGTCTCTACCATCCTAGGGTGATATAGAAGAGCTAACCTAAAGGTACTTCCAGTGACACTGGTTTATCACTCAAATCATTAGTGTGTATGATTGTATATATATAATGTGTATTAATTTTAAGTGCTAACCTCTAGTAGAGGTAGGATTATTGCCTAGTGAGTGCAGAATTTGACCCTAGGCTACCATCAGTACTTGTTCAGTATTATGAGCAGCCCAAGTACAAGTCCCACAAGGCTTCACCAACTAGCCAGTATGGATAATGCAGGGAGAATGAAAAGAACCCTTGCAGGTCTTAAAGGCCACTTAACAAGACAGATCAAGAAATGTGAAGATTTGTCACAACAATCTCAAGTTGATTATGCTGACCTGGAAAGCTATTATCAAGCAGCTGCAGGTAAATTTGAGCAAATCAAATACCAAATGGGTCTCCTTGTAGGGACAGACTACTACCATCGATTCATCGGTAGCCCTACTAAATATCAGGGCATAACCATGTTAAACTCTGCAGGAGGTAAATTACTCTCAGGCCCAGTATCAAGCCTGAGGAGACCTATGCCTGCAGATAAACAATACCAATAGAAATCTAAATTTGTCAGCTGATTATATTTCTCCAGTAGCATTATACTAAGGAGATTACAGCTGACTATACAACAGAGGTTGATGTTAGTATCATCATTTAAAGCTGGAGATGAGTTCATGAGGCCTCAGTGGCAATCAGTGAACAGTAGCCTAAAACAGCTACAAGTCACTGCGACCAATGTCACTGAACCCACTGCAGTCTCAGAACCATACTTTACTTTAATGATGAGCTATTCAATCTTCTGAATCAATTAACTAAATTAAACCCCAATAAATCTGATGACTGATTTGATACATTTATTATTTAATCAAGATGTATTCCATGGGCTCAGTGTTTATATATCAGTGACCAGTTACCTAAAGAAACTTCAAGTTATATCTAATGTCACTGATCTCACTGCAGTCCCTGAATCATACTTGACTGTAGTACTTGATCACATTCAGTCTTCTGGGTTAAATAATATGTAATAAGGCTTGAATATTAGCCTTTCAAGAGTTGACAGGGAAATGAAATTGCATTAGACTTCTATCCCCTGCAACTCTAGTACGGGACATCCGTCCTGTACGAACAGACGCACAAATGTGTGATTAATCTAATAATTCGAAGGAGGAGTATCGGTGTTCGTCTGTTCTAAATAGGACTTCGACCCGTGAGCAGCCCCCTGGGGAATTATGTCGGAAAATCCGACACCATTTAATAATAATATCATACAGACAGATAAGAGCTGTGTTGTATAAACAAGTTACCCATAGAAAATGTAACCTGTAGTGGAATTACCGTCTATAGAAAACGGGATATCATCACCACATACCATTATAATTCACCAGCTATTCTGCTGGGAATTATTCTTAAATACATTAGTCTTTGGACTTTACCATCATAAAAACATCTTATATAAATTAACTTAATTATCAATATTAAAGTAGAGTAAATGTGACCCTTCTATCACTTTCTGAAATCTGGACAAAGTAGGCCAGGCGTCAGAGTGAGGAAGGAGGCAGGCATTGTTGTGTCACCTCCGAGACGTGTGGAGTAAATTTGGCTCCTATCATATCTGGACAATGTCGGCCAGACGTCAATAGAATGGAGTGTTAGATGCAGCCATTGTTTTATATTGAGACCAGAGGCTCACACGGGAGCAAATTCGGCTCCTGTTAATTTACTTGGACGTAGTGTTATGGAAACCAAAGGTACCATCTCCAACACGATGTCTACAATTCAAGTTAAGTCTATCCGAAACCCGTTTATCATTCATTTATGGCCATTAATGTCAGGATATAGGGTGACCCGGTTAGATCACATGGAAGCCTCAAACTAAAGGTAATTAAGCCAGGTCTTTAATGTTCCATGTACTGTATAGTGTTTTCTCTGATATAGCTTGTCATATATAGGATTCTGGCTTCACAGTTAGCGCCCTTTTGACAGGTCAAGACGAGGAAGAGTTTGTGCACCAGTTACCTGGGTGATATGGAAGCTACCTCAAAGAGGATAATTTGGTGTCTACACCCTAGTTATACCTGGTGGACTAACCTGCTGTACTATAAGATAAGGAACCTTTTCAATGTATGTAGTTAATTCTGTAATTTGATTGGCTGCATATATATATAAATAATAACCCCCCCCTAATGTGTAGAGGATCGATTTGTGAGATTAAGAGATTATTGCAGAAATACAGTCCACTTATCATTATACAAATTGCTATCGAAGTATATAAATTAACGTAAATATAAATTCATATAAATTAAATAAATATAAATCTCACAGGTCGGTTCCCACATATATAACGACAGACTACTCACAAATATACAATCTTAAATGATGCATCAAGAAAGAAACTATACTTAACGTGAGCGTAGCTACTACTGAAGTCTGCCGATATCGGGTCT